GAGTGCCACCGCGGCGGGGCTGGCGCGGAGCCGCCTCCGGCCGTGCGCGCCGCCCTTTCCTCTTCCTCCGGATCCTCCCTCGGGCCTCCCGCCTCCGGTGCTCCCTCGGCCCCACCGGGAAAAGGCCGCGGAGATCACGCAGCTCCCCACCGCCTCCCGCGCTCTCCGCTCTCTTGGACCCGTTTATTCGGTTGACCAAGTCTGTGCGCCCCATAAAATAAGAAAGACTAGCCGGCGCCGGCGGCTCACGCCTGTCACCCTAGCTCCTCAGGAGGCTGAGATCTGAGGATCGCGGTTCAAAGCTAGCCTAGGCAGGAAAGTCCTTGAGACTCATCTCCAATGAACCTCCAGAAAACCGGAAGTGGCGCTGTGGCTCAGGTGGTAGAGCGCTGGCCTAGAGTACAGCGCCCAGGCCCAGAGTTCAAGCCCCGCGGCGGACAAAAAAATAAGAATAAAGCCACTAGCAGATAAAGATGGGGGAGCACTTTATTAAAATGAGTCCATGGGTATCAGCCCTGGGCAGCCGCAGAGGGCAGTTTCACGTAGCTCTTCATAGGGGGCAGTGGTCGAATCTTCCGACCAGCCCAGCCTCCCTTGCGGTGCCACAGCCCGCTGTTAGGCCTCTTGCCCAGCCAGCGGTTCCGACCCGCTTTGCCAATGACGCGTTTGTTATGATCCACGTTAGATACTCGGCCTACTGTTGCTATGCACGTATCGAGCACCTAAAGGAGAAAGAAGAGGATGCACTGCGGGGAGGGGGGGTGGGGGAGACCCTCTACTGACAACCCTTGCTGGGAGCCTTATCTTCAGTGGGCCAGAGGAGAGGGAGAGCAGGGTGTATTGAATCCAAGCCGTGGGATCCTAGGGTAGGAACTGGGTTGAAAAGAGGTATTTCTACTTATTCCGTTAAGGTGTCTGCCTGACAAAGCATGCTCTGTCACGCGTGACAAAGGACAGGTGCCGCAGGAGGCCCTGTGAAGAGCTACGTTCCAAAGATTCTCCCTTTGCTGCTCCACCCACCTATCACCTCATACTCACCTGCATCTGCCTCTTAGAGGGCAGCTGGATAATGGCTGTCCCATTCACCTTCCGCAGCAGCACACCACAAGTCCCTGGGGAAGGGAAAAGCAGCTTTGCCACCCTCCACAGGGAGGCATACCCCTGTATCCTTGCTCTGCCCTTTAGGAGCAGATACAATAGAGAAGGCAGCATATACAATATTTTACGTCAAAAACCCCAGCAAGCAACAATCATCCTTATGTTCCTTTCCCCACCCTGTAATACTGAGGGGTTATTTTGTTGTTGTTGCTTGTGCCAGTCCTGGTGCTTGAACTCAGGGCCTGGGTGCTGTCCCTAAGCTTTTGTGCTCAAGGCACTAGTGCTCTACCACCAGAGCCACAGCTCTACTTCCAGCTTTTTGGTAGTTAATTGGAGACAAAGAATCTCACAGATTTTCTTGTGTAGGCTGGCTTCAAACTATGATCTCAGCTTCCTGAATGGCTACTATTATAGGTATCAGCCACAAGTGCCCAGCAATCCCGGGGTTTGAACTCAGGTTTTGCACTTGCTCAGATTGCTTGCTCTACCACTAGAGCTATGCATATCTGCAGCTTGGCTTTTTAAAGGTTATTTTGAAGCTGGGCACCGGTGGCTCATGCCTGTAATCCTAGCTACTTAGGATGCTGAGATCTGAGGATCGTGGTTCAAAGCCAGCCTGGAGAAGAAAGTTCCTGAGACTCTTATCTCCAACAAACCACTAGAAAACCAGAAGTGGCACTGTGGCTCAAGCGGTAGAGTGCTCGCCTTAAGTTGAAGAGCGCAAGTACAGAGCCCAAGCCCAGAGTTCAAGCCCCATGACCGACAAAAAAAAAGTTATTTTGGAGTCAAAGTCTCTAGAACTTTTCTGCCCAGACTGGCTTTGAACCTTGATCCTCCAATCTCAGCCTCCTGAGTGGCTAGGGTTATACATGTGAGCCACTGGTCTCTGGCTCATATCCCTAGTTTTATTCTCTTCCACTCTACCAGTGGACTAGATGTAGACCCATACGTCCAAGGAATTGCGACTTCAGTACTCCTTAGTGTTCCAAATTATGGGACCTGGGGAGACCCTTTCCCCATACCTGCAGCTCGGATGTACTGGGCTCCTCGGCCTGGCTCACTTTCCACATTGTTGATGAGGGTGCCGACGGGCAGAGCCCCAAGAGGATGTGCATCGCCTTCTTGAGCAGCAACTAAAAGACAGAATTTCATCAGCACTAGAACCTTTGAAATCCCAAGCCCATGCATCTGGTAGCTACCTCTCACCTGCCATTCGGCCTATGTGGTTAGAATTCAGGATTATATCTCCCACCTTCATGTTTTCTGTGGCAATGATCCAGCGTTTCCGGCCTCCCCCAGCAACCAGAGCTATGTCTGCTGACCTGTTCAGGATGGTGGACAAGGGAGCAAACCATCAAGGAAGTCCCATGTTTGGGAATTTACCCTCCAGTCATTCATACCACACTATCACCATCCCAGGTTCCAAACTTGCCTACAGGGATCATAGCGGACTACAATAACCTTCTCCTCAAAGGGTCCTGGCTTGGTCTCCTGCTCCGGCCGGAACCGCAGGAAATCAATCATGCGATAACGCTGCTTGTGGCCTCCACCAATACCATGCACTCGGATGCGGCCTGTAGTCAAGACAGTCAGAGACAAGATCCAGTCAGACCATTTCCATTCCCAGCACTGGGAAGAGACTTGTTCAGGGAATAGTGTTTCCCAATATTATGGCACAAAAAGAAAATCATATAGGGCTGGGGTGTATCTTAATGCTGAGGCCTGTGGTTTGATACCCAACATTGGGGAAGATGGGGAAGAATAAGAAAGTGAAAAAATTTTCATAGCATGATAGGGAAGGTGGTAAGGCAACACCTATATGGATCTTGATAAAAATAGAATTCTTCTAGCACTCAGGAGGTAGAGATAAGAGGATTATGAGTTCTGAGGCCAGCTTGGGTTACATAGTGAGACTCACAAAACAAAAATAAATACTGGGAACCAGTGGCTCACACCTGTAATTCTAGTTGCTCAGGAAGCTGAGATCTGAGAGTTGAGATGTGAAGCAAGCCTGGACAGAAAAAAATCTACTTGACTCTATATGTAATTAGCCACCAAAAAAGCTGAACTGAAGGTGTAGCCCAAATGGTAGAGTGCCAGCTGTGAAGAAAAAGTAGAGTGAGATTGTCAGGCCCTGGCACCAGCACACAAAAACAAATAAAAACACAAGGTCTCAGATATCGTTCAATGGTATAGTCTTTGTAGCAAGTGCTCTAAATCTGATCCTCAGAACCAAAAGAAAAAATATCCTGTAAATTCTTTTCAAATTACAGAATTCAGTAAGTTTTAAAAGACTCTAAATTATACGTAATTTCAACTGTTGTAAATTTGGATAGGTATGAAGAAAAATGCAAGACACTTGCTATATATAGCCAGTTGTCTGTTAGTTTTTATTTCAGTCTAGTTTTTTTTTTTTTTTTTTTGTCGGTCGTGGGGCTTGAACTCTGGGCCTGGGCGCTGTCCCTCAGCTCTTCAGCTCAAGGCGAGCGCTCTACCACTTGAGCTACAGCGCCACTTCCAGTTTTCTGGTGGTTTATTGGAGATAAGAGTCTCACAGTCTGTCCTGCCCGGGCTGGCTTTGAACGGCGATCCTCAGATCTCAGCCTCCTGAGTAGCTAGGATTACAGGCGTGAGCCACCAGCGCCCGGCTCAGTCTAGTTTTAATGATGTTCTACATGTATAACGTAGGATGTATGTTTTCTAATTATATGCCTCTGCCACTTTTCAAAGTATCTTATTATACACATCTATGGTCCTAGCATGTTCTTTTTCTTTACTACTTAAGACCCCAGACCCTTTCTCCCACCTGTGTGGTCTCGACCTCCAGACTTCCTCATCTTCACTGGTTTAGTAGTGTAAGTAGTACGACTCTTCCAGGACACAAACTTGGCACTAAGGCTCGCAGAAGTAAGCACCGGACGGCAAGGGAGCAACATAGAGGCAGATGGCAGCTGAAGGAGGACATTACTAATCACCTAAGGATAAAAAGAAATCTCTCAGGCTAGGTGCCAGGGACTCACACTTATAGTCCTAGCTACTCAGGAGGCTGAGATATGAGAATCTTGGTTCAAAGCCAGCCCCGGCAGGAAAATCAGTAAGACTTTTATTTCCAGTTAATCAGCAAAAAGCCCAAAGTAGAGGGGTAGCTCAAGTGGTGGAGTGCTAACCTTGAGTGAAAAAGTGAAAAGGGCCCTGAATTCAAGCACCAGTACCAATATAAAATTAAATAAAAAGCCCCAAACAAAAACTCTCTCACTTGAGAACTAACTGAAAGAGAAACATCAGAGAACCAAATCGAAGGGCCCAGACCAACTTTAGCTTGTAATGTACTTTCTTTTTGGAAGTGTTCTAGACCAGCTGACCAAAATCTCCACCCTTCCTAGCCTGCCTAAATACCAGTACTGAATGTTTATCCAAATATATGTGTGTTGATTGCCTCTCCTCATTCAATCTTCTCACCTCTGAGGCATGTTTACAATGTGTTCTCTTGGTCATTTCCCAAATTTGACTTAATCTCTCCTCCAGGAAGCATTTCCTTCCCTGAATAATTCCCTTCTCCAGAGTTGGTAACTTCCACATATCCATACACTGTCACTAATACTTATGCCTTTTGCCCTCTTCATTATGGTTCCAGGAGTTTCCCACATATGAATGGAGGGAAGTGATTTCTGTCTTGTTCTTTGTGTTTCCAGGATTTCATAGAATAGATTGGCCTGCCAAACTCTGCAATCATCAGCTTGAAAAATCTAAAGAAGCAAGATTGAGTTTTCGGTGACTCACAGTTGCCCACACTGGGCCTGAGGATATCTTCTCCTGAGATCTCTATCTTTGGCATCTGGTCCTGCCTGCATTCTTTACTTTCAGCAGTAGCTCATGCTTGTAGGGGTCATAATGGTTAAGAAGCACGGGCTGGGCGGGGTGGGGGGGGGAGGCTGGGAAGGGATGTGAAGGTAAACAAAGGAGGAGGCTGCAATGCTTGGTAAGAAATGTACGCATTATCCTGCCCATGTAATTGTAACTCCTCTGTACAGTATGTTCACAAATAAAATAAAAATTTAAAAAAAAAAAGAAGCACGGGCTCTGGGGAAGACGCTCTAGCTCAGTGGTAGAAATAGTGCTTATCATGAGCCAGTACCTGAGTTCAATCCCCAGCATACACACGCACACACACATACACCCACAGGTTTTGAAGCTAGACTGACATTAGATTGTTCCTCAGTTTTTCTCACCTGTGAAATAGGAATGACTACCTAACAGTGGTTGAAAGGCGCTCATCTGAAAGGCCTATTCCTAATACCTTGCATTGCAATCGTAGACAACGCGATGCCTGTACAACTTGTGGTCTGCATATGCATTTGCACACCAATATCTCGTGTGAGGAGTCTCGCCCTATGAGAGAGCAGCACCAGGAGGGATTGCCGGCATCCTCCACTCCCCACCCCTGACCGCCCTCTCTACAGGTATCAGGCTCCTTTCTGGGTGAGGCGGATTACCTGGGCTGCAGGGTGCACACTAGGAACGGGGGCGGAAACAGCGGAGGGCGCCAGGCTCAGAGAGCGCAGGGCGCGGGTCAGGGCCCGCAGAGCCATGGGGTGGCCGGCTGCTCGCGCTTCAGCGCGTCTTCACCACCTTTCCCCGGACTGCCTGGCGCTCCGAGAGGACGTCATCGTTCCGGTCAGCGTCGCGGTCCAAATTCCGTAAAAGGAGGCCGCTCCCGTCCCGCCCCCCAGAACGTAGCCACAGCCAATCGTCGGACGATGTATATACCACGTGACCGGAGAGCCGGCCCCGCCCCTCGGAGCCGTCAAAACAATTGCCTCGAGCGGCAGCCATGATGATCTTAAAGGGGCAGTACCGGCAAAGACGACAGCCAGATCGACAGACTGCAGGTGAGTCATTGAGGGCGACCCCGGGACTGAGGTCCAAGGTCTCAGGCACCTCTTATCCTGCACTTTTTGGACAGATAAACAAATCCTTCCGCTAAACCTCACAAAAACTCCAGTCTCGAAAACTCCGCCCCTCGCCATTCATCCCCGCCCCTCAACGTTCAGACAGACGGACGGACGGACGGCCTGCCCCGCCCCCGACGCAATGGCTGGCCTCCGTGACCTCGGGTTGTCCGCTGTGGGGGCCTCGCGGGCCTCGGTCGTTCACCCCCGCTTCCCTCCCCTGGGCCCCAGTCTACCTCACTTTGTCTCCACCCTGGGCCCCAGGGCAGGTTAGCAACTCGGGCGTTCCTGTGCGGCAGCCCCAGATGCCGGAGACCATTTCGGGCTCCCCCTTTGCCCGTGACCCGGCAGAAGCTCTGCAGACTTCCCAGTCTTCCTGACCGTCAGGCCCTTGGGAAGCACCGTAAGGTGATTCTTCTCAGGCCTGTTAGTAGGTGGTGGTGACCAAGCCATGACTGTTTACTGGGCTAGGAGTGACCAGGTCTTCCTCCTCACCCTTTCCCGAACACGCCCCCTGCCTCAGGTCTCCGATTAAATCTGTCTCTCACCCTCTTCTGGGGAGAAAGTAGCTCCCCGGGACCTTGAGTGGGAAGTTGGGTTAAGGAAGAAGGTGGGATATTGGTCGTCTCTGAAGATCTTTAGGCACTGGGAGGGTGTTTGTCCGGGGCAGGGCTCTGTGCCAGGTCCTCTCGGTGGTGGAGAAGGGTGGGACCGCTGGACTTCTGGACTTTGTCCGGGCTGATCTTTCGGAATTCCTCGCTCCTAGTGCTCCTTCCTGGCTTGGGCCTGACAACTTAGCCGAGTGCTCAGCTCTATATATACTGGTAAGGGGACTTCAAAGAGGAGAAACCAAGCAAGCACCTTTGAGGAAGGAGGAAGACAACCTGCGTTGTCGGGCGTGGGAAGCATGGGCTTGAGGGGTAGTGAGAAAGGAACAGAGGAGACCATTTTTGGGCTTAGTTTGACAGGTGACATAGACTGAAGACCTCAAACCTTTTGGAACCCTTACATCTGATTCCTGTGATGAAGACTGTTTTCTTTTTTTTTTTTTTACCCTGATCTAGCTATTCCTTTCTTTCTTTGCTTGAAATTTCTGCACAATTCCTGAAATTCCTGTCTGCTTGTTCCCTTTTGAAGCTTTCCCCACATCCTCTTTGATCCTTATAGTGCTCCCTTCCTTTTTCTAGAACAAGTTCTCTAATTCCTGGGTTTTTGTTTGTTTGCTTTTGCTTTTTGTGCTAGTACTAGGGCTTGAATTCAGGGCTAGGTGCTGTTCTTTAGCTCTTTTGCCAAGGCTGGCACTCTACCACTTGAGTTCACAGCTCAACATGTAGATTTTTGGTGGTAAATTAGAAATAAGAGTGTAATGGACTTTCCTTCCTAGGCTAGCTTTGAACCATGATCCTCAAATCTCAGCCTCTTGACTAGCTAGGATTACAGGTTAGAGCCACTACACTTGGCTGTTTAGTCGCCCCCCCCCCCACCTCCGTTTATTTGTAGTACTGAGGATTGAAATAAAGACCTTGAACTTGCTAGGCAGGCATTCTATCACTTGTCACTTGAGCTACACTTCAAGTCCTTTGTTTGTTCTTAAGTACTACGTTCTTCTGCTAGCTCCAAGCAACTTTGTTTGTTTACAGAATTCTTTCATTCAAGTCAATTCCTCTCCCTCACCTGACCTTTTGTGTTCTGTGGTGCAGGCTTTTTCTATACTTGGTCATACCCTCTCTCCAACTCAACCACAGGGTCCCCCATATTCCTGTTCCTTCCCTTGGATTTCCACCATCCTCTCATCTTTACCCCATCTGACTACTGTTGTTTCTCCCCAGCCCAGAAGTCCCCCTGGCCAGGATGTCTGGCCTGGTATTGGGGCAGCGGGATGAGCCTACAGGACACCGGCTCAGCCAAGAGGAGATCCTGGGGAGCACTCGGCTGGTGAGCCAAGGGCTGGAGGCCCTCCACAGTGAGCACCAGGCTGTGCTGCAAAGCCTGTCCCACACCATTGAGTGTCTGCAGCAGGGAGGCCATGAGGAAGGGCTGGTGCATGAGAAGGCTCGGCAGCTGCGCAGGTCTATGGAAAACATCGAACTGGGGCTGAGTGAGGCGCAGGTGAGAGAGCAGGACTGGTGCCAAGTAGTCCAGTGTGCAGAGAGGAGAGTTGGTCTTACTGGAATTTTGAGGTCATTGGGATAATTTGTCTCGGATACTGTCATTCATTCATTCATGTATATATGCCAAAACTCTTCAGAGGCCCTAGAGATACATCACTGAACACAACAATAAAAATCTTTGCAATCTTGGAACTGACATTCTAGCTAGGAGCAACAGACAGCATGCAAATAAGTAAATGGTTCAGTATGCCAGTGATAATTGTTAAGGATAAAAAGAAATGTAGCCGGGTGCCAGTGGCTCACACCTGTAATCCTAGCTACTCAGGAGGCTGAGATCTGAGGATCACGGTTCAAAGCCAGCATGGGTGGGAAAGTCCATGAGACTCTTATCTCCAGGTAACCACCAGAAAACCGCAAGTTGTGCTGTGGCTCAAATGGTAGAGTGCTCACCTTGAGCTGAAGAGCTCAAAGACAGCATCTAGGCCCAGAGTTGAAGCCCCAGGACTGACCAAAAAAAAAAAAAAAAAAGATAATATAAATCAGGGAAGGGGACTAGGAAGAAGAGCGTACAAAACTAGATAGGGTAGCCAAAAAAGGTCTCCCCAAAAGGATAACATTTGAACAAAGAGTTGAGGGAAAGGGAATACAGGAGATGAAGGTCCTAAGCAGAGAGTAAAGAAAGAACAAGGCCCTGAATTGGGGCCTGCCTAGTGAGTTCAGTGAACAGCATGGGCCATTATGGCTGCACTAGAATGGATAAAGGGAAACAGTAAAAAATCCAAGAAGCTGGGCACCAGTGGCTCACGCCTGTAATCCTTGCTACTTAGGAGGCTGAAATTTGAGGATCCCAGGTCAAAGTCAGCCCAGGCAATGAGGTGATCTTTTGAAGGTATACTAATTGCTGCTACTCCTACCTGCTGGCTTCTCTGTGCTGAACACTCTCACTTAGAGGACTGAGGCTCACAGTGTAATCTTCCTACCTAGGTGATGCTGGCCCTGGCCAGCCACCTGAGCACAGTGGAGTCAGAGAAGCAGAAGCTGCGGGCTCAGGTGCGACGGCTCTGCCAGGAGAACCAGTGGCTCAGGGATGAGCTAGCGGGCACTCAGCAGAGGCTCCAGCGCAGTGAACAGGCCGTGGCTCAGCTCGAGGAGGAAAAGAAGCACCTGGAATTCCTGGGGCAGTTGCGGCAGTATGATGAGGAGGGACACACTGCGGTGAGCATCCCGAGGTGGAGTGGGGGAGGGACAGGCAGCCAGGACCGTGATCAGGGCCATTGCCCAGTATCCTCCAAGGCCAGCAGGAATCCCCAACCTGTCTTCATCTGGCAGAATTCCTTTTTGGAGTCCTGGCAACAGTGCCAGGTGACAATGATGGGGGGAGGGGCAAATAATGAGTCATCCAATCAGTTAAATGTTTTTGTTCCAGACACTTAAGTATGCTCCTGGTGAATGGGGCAGATTGTTATATGTTTGAGAGGAGAGAGACAAGGGATTGGACCGTTCTGATCCCAACCCTAAGTGCTACAGTTAGGGAAAGCAAGACCCACGTATTACATGAAATTTAACCCTTAGTGAACAGCCATATGTGTGTCTCTGTGCCTAATATAGTGCAGGAAAGTGTGCAGAGGAGATAGCAAGAGCAGTGAAAGAGTTCTTACCTTCTCAAGTTTACAAAGCATCTTTAGGGAACTAGGCTTACACAGGGGAACAAGTAGGTGACCACCCAAAGTAGCAAGTACTCATTCTGGATGAGTGGTTCAGTCAGCATGAGAGGAATGCCAAGGTGATAAGGTTCCCCAGAGCTGAGAAGGATTCACAGGGTTAAAGAGTATTTTTTTGTGTGTGTGTGCCAGACCTGGGGCTAGAACTCAGGTTCTAGGCTTTGGTGTTCAAGGCTAGCATTCTACTGTTTGAGTCACAGCTTTACTTCTGGCTTTTTGCTGGTTAATTGGATAGCTTCTCTGACTTTTCTGCGCAGGCTGGCTTCAAACAGTGATCCTCAGGCCTCAGCCACCTGGGTAGCCAGGCTTACAGGTGTGAGTCACTGGCACCCAGCTTGGATAGTATTTTTTGTTGGGCTGCTCATATGAGTATATTAGAAGTTGGGATTGTTTTAAAGGATGATCAGAGGGAGAGGAACTTTCTAGATTAGGGAAAGGTTATCACAGATGAGGCTCCAGGGCTAGAGAGATGATCTGTCTTAGGGAATGTGATCATTTGCATAGGGCACACTGGTGATGCTTGTAGAAAGGGTTTTGTATTAGGCTATAGTTCCTAACAGGTAAAGCACATTTTTCCAGGGTGAAAATGGGTAAGACAGCAAGGGTTGGGCACTAAGACTAGAATAAGCAGTGGCAGATGATGGGCCCAAGGTTGGGCTAGACACTTCAGTTATGTGTCAGTGAGATCAGACACACTCCCTCCCATCTGGAGAGACAGAACAGACATGTAATCAATGTAAACACATAGGGACGAACATGGGGCTATAATTATGAGTTCAGCGGGAGAGGGGGAGACTGGAGAATGAATGTGGTTAGGAAGGTAAATTTCTAGATGCAAAATAAGGGGAAGTCTTGAGATTTTGTCCAAAACATCCCTGGTGTGACAAACCAGAGAGGCCTGAGCTTGGTTGGGCCCGATGCCCTCCTTTCCTGTGTGCAGAGGCAGAAACAAAGGTCTTTTCCTAGATCCCACATATCAGTGATTTTATGACTTAGAGGGACCCCTAGAGAAACTGCTGGGACCTAACATGCTGCTTCTTCCGTCCAAGGAGGAGAAGGAGGGCGATACCACCAAGGATTCTTTGGATGACCTTTTCCCCAATGAGGAGGAAGAGGATGCCAGCAATGGCTGTGAGTCTGCCTCTGGATTTGGAGGGTGATGAGGGAGGCTGGAGGCTGGCTCCGCGGGAGGAGGCTGGCCCCAGCTGTGGCTCACATTGTGCATAGGTGCTCACCATCCAGAAATAGGGTTTCCACTCCCCATGGAGAGGGCGGAGATGTACTCTTGCTTAGCTTTTGTGTTCAAGGCTGGTACTCTACCACTTAAGCTATACCTTCTCCTCTGGCTCTTTACTGGTTAATTGGAGATAAAATTTGTCTCAAGGATTTTTCTGTCTACATGGGTTGGAACTGTGATTCGAAAATCTCAGCTTCCTGAGTAGCTAGGATTAACAGGCATGAGCCACTGGTGCCTGGTTTGTTCTTACCTTTCCTAGTGGGGACAGGGCCTCCCACCCCCTCCCGCTTATGCTTATTGCGTAGATGTGTGTGGAGTGAGTGATAGGCACATAGGACAAGAGAGCAAGTGAAAGAACCATGGCAGAAGCCGGGCACCTTTAATCCTAGCTACTCAGGAGGCTGAGATCTGCGGACCAAGGTTCAAAGCCAGCCAAGGCAGGAAAATTTGTGAGACTCTTTATCTTCAATGAACCACCAGAAAACCGGAAGTGGTGCTGTGGCTCAAGTGGTAGAGCCGTGAGCTGAAGAGCTGAAGGACAGAGCTCAGGCCCAGAGTTCAGGCCCCACGACACACACACACACACACACACACACACGCACACGCACACGCACACGCATACAAAAGAACCATGGCAGGGGCTGAGAAGGTGGCTCAGTGGTAGAATGCTTGCCTTGCATGCTCAAGGCCCTGGGTTCGATTCCTCAGCACCACATAAGCAAAAAGAAAAAGGCTGGAAGTGGCGCTGTGGCTCAAGTGGCAGAGCACTAGCCTTGAGCCGAAGAGCTGATGGACAGTGCCCAGGCCCAGAGTTCAGGCCCCACGACCAGACCCCCCCCCCACACACACACAAAAAAAAGAACCATGTCAGAGGCATTTCTTAGATGAACAGACAAGAGGAGTACAGAGGGCAGATGAGCCCTCTGCATAAGTGTCCTGTTCACTTTCGCGGGTGGATTAGTGTCCCGTGGGCCGGGCGCTGCAGCAGCCCAGCAGGGTGGATATGAGATCCCAGCAAGGCTTCGGACACTGCACAACCTGGTGATCCAGTACGCAGCTCAAGGTCGCTATGAAGTGGCCGTGCCGCTCTGCAAGCAAGCCCTGGAAGACCTGGAGCGCACTTCGGGCCGCGGCCACCCTGATGTTGCTACTATGCTCAACATCCTCGCCTTGGTGTATAGGTGAGCACCGCCCTCCTCCACCACCCAGAATCCCCTTCACATCTCTCCCCTGCCCCCCCTTTGGTTTCCTTTCCTCTTTTCCACTGGGTACCTCTCCTGCCAGCTGGGCTTCCTGGATGTACGGCACAAGATTGCTCCCTCTAGGACCAGGACTCTTTTGTTTTGTTGTCAGTTGTGGGGCTTGAACTCTGGGTCTAGGTGCTGTCCCTGAGCTCTTCAGCTTAAGGGGAGTACTCTACCACTTGAGCTTCAACACCATTTCTGGTTTTCTGGTGGTTAATTGGAGATAAAGAGTCTCACAGATTTTCCTGCCTAGGCTGGCTTTGAACCTTGATCCTCAGATCTCAGCCTCCTAAGTAGCTAGGATTACAGGTGTAAGCCACTGGTGCCGCAACTCTTTTTTTTTTGTTGTTGGTTGTGGGGCCTGGTGGGGGCTTGGGTACTGTCCCTCAGCTCTTCAGCTAAAGGCTTTATCACTTGAGCCACAGTGCCACTTTCCAGCTTTTTCTGCTTATGTGGTGCTGAGGAATTGAACCCAAGCCTCATACATGCAAGGCAAGTGCTCTACCACTGAGCCACCTTCCCAGCCTGAACTCTTGCATTTTCTATACCCAAGCTTTGAACTCAAAACACTCATTTCTCAGACTCTTTGCTTCTCTAATTTTCCTTTGGAGAGGTTTCTACCCCTCTCTGTTTCTTTTTCTTTTTCCTTCTCTCTTTTTTTCTTTCTTTTTTTTTATGCCTGTCCTGGGGCTTGAACTCAGGGCCTGGGTGCTGTCCCTGAGCTTCTTTTTCTTTGTTTTTTTTTTTCTTTTTGGGTCCGGTCGTGGGGCTTGAACTCTGGGCCTGGACGCTGTCCCTCAGCTCTTCAGCTCAAGGCTAGCACTCTACCACTTGAGCCACAGCACCACTTCCGGCTTTTTTTTCTTTTTGCTTATGTGGTACTGAGGAATCGAACCCAGGGCCTCAGGCTTGCAAGGCAAGCGCTCTACCACTGAGCCACCTTCCTAGCCCCTGAGCTTCTTTTTCTCTAGGCTAGTGCTGTACCAATTGAGACATGGATCCAGCTTTTTTAAGGTAGTTTATCAGAGATAAGAGTTTTATAGACTTTACTGCCTGAGCTGGCTTCCAACCATGATCCTCATATCTTAGCCTCCTGCGTAGCTAGGATTATAGGTGTGAGCCACCAGCCTGACTTGTTTCTGTCTTTTGCTTTTTAAGACTGTCACCTCCCTTTGAAATAGCACATGCTAGCTGGGAATGAGGCGTGGCTGGGAAAGAGGCTTAGTCGTAGAGTGCTTACCTAGTATGCATGAAGCTCTGGGTTCAATTCCTCAGTACCACATACACAGAAAAAGCCAGAAGTGGAACTGTGGCTCAAGTGGTAGAGTGCTAGCCTTGAGCAAAAGAAGCTTGATGACAGTGCCTAGGCCCAGAGTGCAAGCCCTAGGACCAGCCAAAATGAATAAATAAATAAATAAATGGAAAGGAAATAGCACATGCTCTGTAGTCTGATGTAGTGTGCCAGTGAAGGCCTCTGATGGCCCATGCCAGGCTGTGTGTCTCCAGTTTCTAAGTGTACTTCAGTCTTTTTTTTTAATGTAAATTTTAATTTTTTGCTGGCCCTGAAGCTTGAACTCTGGGCCTGGGCACTGTCCCTGAGCTTCTTTTGCTCAAGGCTAGCTCTCTTACACCTGAGCCACAACACCACTTCTGGCTTTTTCTGAGAAGTTTATCGGAGATAAGAGTCTTAAAGACTTTCCTGCCCAGACTGGCTTTGAACTGCAATCCTCAGATCTCAGCCTCCTGAGTAGCTAGAATTACAGGTGGGAGCCACCAGTGTCCGGCTGTACTTCAGTCTTTCCAGAGGGAAGGAAAGAAAGAGATGCTATGCAGGGGAGGGTGGAGTTTAGGGTAACTCAGAGTAACATCTGTCACTTTATCCTCTTCAGGGACCAGAATAAGTACAAGGAAGCTGCCCATTTGCTGAATGATGCCCTCAGCATCCGGGAGAGCACGCTGGGCCGAGACCACCCTGCAGTCAGTATCCCCAGTACTTCCCCCTCCTGTATTACTCATTTGTGATCTCTTAGCTTCTCCATCTGGATCCTCAATCCACTAACCAGGGCTGCTTACGAAGGAGTCACGATCACTCTTTCCTTCCAGGCTCTGATCAGTAAGCCTGCTGGTTCTCAGTTCTGAGCCTCAATAATTCCCTTTTGTGTTTGTGTGGTACCGGGGTTTGAACACAAGGCCTTTTGCTTACTAGTCAGGTGCTTTACTGCTGAGCCACATCTCCATTCCTCTTTTGCAATGGTTATTTTTATTTTATTTATTTATTTTTTTTGGTTGGTCTTGGGGCTTGAACTCTGGGCTTCAGCGCTGTCCCTCAGCTCTTCAGCTCAAGGTGAGTGCTCTATCACTTGAACTACAGCGCCACTTCCATTTTTTCTGGTGGTTTATTGGAGATAAGAGTTTCACGGACTTTCCTGCCCGGGCTGGCTTTGAACCGCGATCCTCAGATCTCAGCCTCCTGAGAAGCTAGGATTACAGGCATGAGCCACCGACACCTGGCTGGTTATTTTTATTTTTTTTGTCAGATATGGGGTTTGAACTCAGAGCTCATACTTAAGTAACTTGCTTTACTGGTGTTTTACCATTTTGAGCTATGCCTCTACTCTGGCTTTTTGGTCGTTATTTGGGAGATAGAGTCTTACAGGCTTTTCTTCAAACCATGATCCTTTGGATCTCAGCCTTCTGAGTAGCTAGGATTTTGGCACAAGCTCCCAATGCCCATCAAGAAGAGTAATTGAGGGTTGGGAATGTAGCTTAGTGGTAGAGTGCTTGCCTAGCATGCATGAAGCCCTTGTTTGATTCCTCAGTACCACATAAACAAAAAGCTAGAAGTGGTGCTGTGGCTAAAATGGCAGAATGCTAGCCTTGAGCAAAAAAGAAGCTCAGGAAACATGCCCAGGTCCTGAGTTCAAGCCCTAGGACTGGGATAAAAAGAGGTAAGAGTAGGGGCTGGGAAGGTGGCTCAGTGGTAGAGTGCTTGCCCTGCATGTGTGAGGCCCTGGGTTCGATTCCTCAGCACCACATAAGCAGAAAAAGCCAGAAGTGGCACTGTGGCTCAAGTGGTAGAGCACTATCCTTGAGCTAAAGAGTTGAGGGACAGCGCCCAGGCCCAGAGTTCAGGCCCCATGACTGACCAAAAAAAAAAAAAAAGTAATTTCTAATATAAGCACCTATAATCAGGAGGTTGAGATCTGAGGATTGCTGCTCAAAGTTAGCTCAGGCAGGAAAGTGAAAGTCCCTGAGATTCTTATCTCCAGTTATGCCTCAGCAACAATCTCTTGAGTTCAAGCCCCAAGACTGGCACAAAGGGAGAGGGAGAGAGAGAGAGAGGGGGAGAGAAATAATCTTCAATAGATATAGCATACCAACATAAATGGTGGAGTGTTAAAGTAAATAAAATGAGAAACTCTATTTTTGGAAATGAGTCCTATCTTGATATGCCACCAATATGTCAAAGGTTTTCCTTCGGGTTTGGTTGTCTGGAAGACTTTCAGAAGTTGGCAGAGCTGTCCCACACATGCAGAACATCTGTAGGTTTCTTGCCTTTCCATTAGTAATAGGCAACCGAAAAAAACCACTTGAAAATTTTCTAAAAATCCCCTTAGAGGAGAATGAGGGAGAACGAAGGGAGGGATGGTGTTGTCCAAGAAGCATTATACTCTTTACCTAACTTTTGGAATTGTAATCCCTTTGAATAGCTCCTTAATTCTAACACTTTAAAAAAAAATCCCCCAAACCCAGTGGAAAAGGCTCATGCCTGTCATTCTAACTATTCAGGAGGCTGAGGATTGCAGTTCAGAGCCAGCCAGGGCAAGAATGTCTGTGAGACTCTTATCTCCAGTTAACCACCCAAAAGCCGGAAGTGGAGGTGTGTGGCTCAAATGATAGAGTGCTAGCCCTGAGCACAAAAGTTCAGGGACAGTACCCAGACCCTGAGTTCAAGTCTCAGGGCCAGTACCAAATAAAAATAAGGTGGGTGCCAGTGACTCGCACTTACAATCCTAGCTACTGAAGAGGATCGTGATTGGAAGCCAGCCCAGTCAGAAAAGTCCCCATGATACTTTTTTTTTTAATTTGGTTGGTCATGAGACTTGAACTCTGGGCTTGGGTGTTGCCCCTGTGCTCTTCAGCTCAAGGCCAGCACTCTACCGTTTGAGCCACAGTGCTACTTCCGGTTTTCTGGTGGTTTATTGGAGATAAGAGTCTTTATGGACTTTCCTGACCGGGCTGGCTTTGAACCAAGAACCTCAGATCTGAGCCTCCTGAGTAGCTAGGATTACAGACGTGAGCCACTGGCGCCTGGCTCCATGATACTTTTTTTTTTGGTCCGGTCGTGGGGCCTGAACTCTGGGCCTGGGCGCTGTCCCTCAGCTCTTCAGCTCAGGGCTAGCACTCTACCACTAGAGCCAGAGCGCCACTTCGACTTTTTTCTTTTTTTGCTTATGTGGTGCTGAGGAATCGAACCCAGGGCCCCGAGCATGCAAGGCAAGTACTCTACCTCTGAGCCACCTTCTCAGCCCTCCATGATACTTTTATCTCCAATTAACCACTCAACACCCACAAGTGGTGCCGTGGCTCAAATGTTAAGAGCGCTAGCCTTGAACACAGAGAGTCTCAGGGACAGTGTCTAGGATCTGAGTTCAAGCCCCACAGTGGATAAAAAAGTTAATTAATGGAATGAAATAAAAATATTTCCCTAGAGGGCGCTATCATCCCCATGGGCTCTGGGACCCATCAGCAGTCTCCCTTCCCAATCTCTGGCTAGGCTCTTGATCTTGTCTTGGACGCTGGTCTGTGTGGGAGAAACCAGGTTCTCCTGTCCTTTGAAGCACCAGCGTGTGACAGAGTCCGGCCTTGCTTTGCAGGTAGCAGCCACACTCAACAATCTGGCTGTCCTGTACGGGAAAAGGGGCAAATACAAGGAGGCGGAGCCACTGTGTCAGCGGGCACTAGAGATTCGGGAAAAGGTAGCCATACCCTCCCTCTTGACCCTTCTCCATCCTCTCCTCTGCTAATACCCTTCCTTGCTACTTTCTTTTCTAACCCCTTTTTCCCTGCTTTGTACCCCTTTCCTCCTCCTCTCCCTCCTTTTTTTGTGATACTGGGGTTTGAACTCAGGACCTTGGTTTGCTACCCAAGTGCTCTATCTACCACTTGGGCTACACTTCTAGTTCTTGTCCTGTGTTCCTTTCTTTCTGCTACCCACACTTGTATGCCAGGGCACCCCACACACATCGTCATAGCTGTTTACCTGCCTCTTTTGTTCCTCGCCAGGTTCTAGGCACCGACCACCCAGACGTGGCAAAGCAGCTGAACAACTTGGCCCTCTTGTGCCAAAACCAGGGCAAGTATGAGGCCGTGGAACGCTATTACCAGCGGGCACTGGCCATCTATGAAGGGCAGCTTGGGCCAGACAACCCTAATGTAGCTCGGACCAAGAACAACCTGGTAAGGGAAGAAGGGATTAGGTGGCTGGAAGGAAAAGAAGGGACTGAAAAGCATCATGGGAGAGGGGGAGGGACATTTACACCATATCTATCTCTGGGGCTGCCTTTGGGCTTGAAGAAGTCACCATTTCATCCCTGTGGTAGAAGTTCAAGAGCCTCCTGAGAGGCTGTTAGCAGTGTGGCAAGGGTTTCTGGGGAAAGTCATATAGATACCAAGAAGTGGAATTACTCAAGACTGATGACGGTCTTGTCTCCTTCCATTTCTTGCTCCTATGTTTTGGCCTTTCACCTGCCAGGCTTCCTGTTACCTGAAACAAGGCAAATATGCAGAGGCAGAGACTCTATATAAAGAGATCCTGACCCGTGCCCATGTGCAGGAGTTTGGGTCTGTGGATGGTAAGTGGTGAAGGCCTGAGGAGGAAAAGAAATGTTGACCAAAGGTGGGTTCCCAGGGAGAAACAGACCACTGTAGCCTAGTCTTGTTGACCCCTGGGTCCAGTTTTTTGTTGTTGTTTATTTTGCCTGTCATAGGGCCTGAACTCTGGGCCTGGGCACTGCCCCTCAGCTCTTCAGCTCAAGGCTAGTGCTCTACCACTCGAGCCAGAGCGCCACTTCTGGCCTTTTCTGTTTATGCGGTACTGAGGAATTGAACCCAGGGCTTCATGCATGCAAGGCAAGCACTCTACCACTGAGCCACATTCCCAGCCCCTGGGTCCAGTTTTTTTGGTTTTGTTTTGTTTTGTGAGCAGAAGAGAAGTTTATTGGAAAGAGAAATATGAAAGTGTCTGTGGAAACAGACAGAAGCAGAGCTGGTGATTCTGTTTTTTGTTGTGGTTGATTTTTGTTTGGTGCTGGTACTGGGCTTGAGCTCAGGGCCTGGGCACTGTCCTTTAGCTTTTCTGCTCAAGGCTAGTGCTCTACCACTTGAGCCATAGCTTCACTTCCAACTTTTTTGGTAGCTAACTGGAGATAAAGAGTTTCACAGGCTGGGCACTGGTGGCTCAGCTTGTAATCCTAGCTACTCAGGAGGCTGAGATCTGAGGATCACGGTTCAAAGCCAGCCCAGGCAAGAAAGTCCGTGAGACTCTTATTGCCAATAAACCACCAGAAAACCAGAAGTGGCACTATGGCTCAAGAGGGAAAATGCTAGCCTTGAGCTGAAGAGCTGAGGGACAGGGCTCAGGCCCAGAGTTCAAGTCCCATGACCGGAAAAAAAAAAATTCACAGGTTCTCCTTCCCAGGCTGGCTTTGAACCGAGATCCTTAGATCTCAGCTTCCTAAGTAGCTAGATTACAGGCATGAGCTACTGTGCCTAGCTCCTTTAGCTTTTTTGCTGAAGGCTACTTACAGCTTTTTGGTGATGAGCTGGAGATGAGTCTAATGGACTTTTTTTTTTTTTTTGCCTGGGCTGGTTTCCAACTATGATCCTAAGAACTCAGCTTCCTGAGTAGCTAGAATTATAAGGCATGGTACTCTGCTTTTCTTTTCTTTTTTTTTTTTTTGCGTGGGGGGACTGGTGGTGGTGGTGGTGGTGGTGGTGGTACTATGGGGCTTGAACTCAGACTGGGCACTGTCCCTAAGCATTTTTGGCCCCAAAGCCAGTATTCTACCACTGAAGTGACAGCTCTGTTTCCAACTTTGTGGTGGTTAATTGGAGATAAAAGTCTCAAGGATTTTCCTGGTTGGCTTCAAACCATAATCCTCAGATTTCAGGCTCCTGAGATGAGGCTTTTTTTTTTTTTAAATAAATGTTATGGGTTTTCTCTCACTTTGGGAAGCTGGGGGTAAACAAAACAAAACTAAACCAAACAAAGCCATCCATTAGAGAGGTAGAATGGAAAGGAAAAAGGGAGGAGGAGGGGACAACAAACAGTAACAGAGGTGGTAAATATGACTGCAGTATATTACATGCACGTATGGAAATGCTGCTCTGTGGCTTTGTCCAACAGTGTTTCCTCTAACCTCCTACCCCATGTATCACCCACAGATGACCATAAGCCCATCTGGATGCATGCAGAAGAGCGGGAAGAAATGAGCAAAGTGAGTGGGGGTGCCACGCCTGGGGAACTTGAGGCTCCCAGAGCCTCTGCCTTGCTCCTGGCCTTAATCCAGCTACTGCACTCACTTCCTACCCCAGCCCCAGCTGCACCCTGGCCCAGGCTAGTCCACCCCCAGCATCTGTGTACTCTCATCTCTGGCTCTCCTTCTGCTGCAGAGCCGGCACCATGAGGGCGGCACACCCTATGCTGAGTATGGAGGCTGGTACAAGGCCTGCAAAGTGAGCAGGTAAGCTGCCAGAGATGAGCGCTTTGGCCTCTGAGGATGCCTTCTTCCATCTAAGCCCTGATTCCAGCCTCCAGGACCTTGTACTCTTTTACCCTTTGCCCCCAGCTCTGCTTCGCACACTCCCCCCTCCCCCCAATTCTTCCCTGCTTTCTTTTCTGAACCATTCTTCCTGCTTTCCTGGCTTGCACTCCCATAGCCCCACAGTGAACACTACTCTGAGAAACCTGGGAGCTCTGTATAGACGCCAGGGAAAGTTGGAAGCAGCCGAGACCTTGGAGGAATGTGCCCTGCGGTCCCGGAAACAGGTGAGAGGTCCATGAAGGAAGGACTCTGGGGACAAAGGACAGCTGAGGCTTCTTGTGAATTTCTAAGAATAAGAGGAGAGGCTGATGGGGAGGATGGCGGGGAGAGGCAGGCAAGGCAATCTTGTGCTGTGGTGTGGTGGTTCTAAGCGTGTTCTTCCTCTAAACCTGACCTTTGCAGTCAGGCCACGGAGTTCAAGATTCCCTTCAATAAATGAGGCCATGAAAAATAAAAAAAATGAGGCCATGCAAGGGGAAACCCTTCCCTTTGACATGGGTGATGTGGGTGCAGCCCTAAGTTAGAATTTTTCAAATTGTGGGTCTCTACTGATTAGTAGGTTGTAAAACTTCAGTGTGGGCCCTGGCTCAAATTACACGTATGTGCATCTAGGAATGCACTGTAAACAGAAAAGGTGAATGTTGCTAGTAGTCGTATGCCGGGATGCCATAAGTAAGGGAAAATGTTGTCCTTGTGAGGGCTGATGGTGAAAGAAAGATGGAAAGCCATCCCAAGGAGCTAAGGAAGTCCCTGCTCCTTCCTTCTCCTTCCAGGGCACCGATCCTATCAGCCAAACGAAGGTGGCAGAGCTGCTTGGAGAGGGTGAGGGGAGGAGGACCTCTCAGGAGGGAGGGGACAGTGTGAAATTCGAGGGAGGTGATGATGCTTCTGTGGCTGTGGAGTGGTCAGGGGTAAGTGTGATCATTGCTCCTTGGTCTTTACCACCCTGTCTTGCAGGCTCTAAGTGGGCCATTCTCTAGGTTCATGCAAGTTACACGGGGGTTCATATCCCCCTTCCCAGTTAGCCTACCCCTTCAGGCACGCTGGCTTTTGATAGGGTTCTGTTCTCACTTAAGACTTTGGGGACGTGGACACATACGGAATAAATGGAGTGGACTTAGAAGGTGATCCGTACGGGGTCCCTTTAGCCCCCATCACTCCCCTCTCTCTGCCAGGATGGCAGTGGGACCCTGCAGAGGAGTGGCTCTCTGGGCAAGATCCGAGATGTCCTTCGTAGAAGCAGCGAACTTCTGGTGAGGAAGCTCCAGGGGACTGAGCCTCGGCCCTCAAGGTACACAGTGAAGTTGAGCTAGGGCAGAGCAGGCAAGCAAGCCCTTGTCTGTGATTCCCCTTGGCTGCTGATCTCTGGAGAAGTGTCTTGGGGAGACCCATGGAGGAGGTCAATGAGGTGGCCATGGTGAGTCTGGGCAGAATGGGCAACCTGGGATGCAGGTCCCTGAGCTGATGATCGTACCTGGTGTGGAGAAGAGAAATAGGAAACAGTGGGAAGGCACGGGTTTGATTTTCTGTGGCAACGCCTACAAAGCCCCACTTTAGGACTACTCAGAAGACAGGACATTTCAGTTCTTTCTTTCTCCATTGTAGCAGCAACATGAAGCGAGCAGCTTCCTTGAACTTTCTGAACCAACCCAATGCGGCACCCCTCCAGGTAAGAGCAGGGCAGTGAGCACAGGGGTGCAGGGAGAGAGGGCTGCCGGCACCCAGACAAGCCCAGCGGGAGTCCGGGAAAAGCAGGGATGGTGAGCCAGGAAACTGGAGTCCTCGAGGAAGCAGGCCAACCGTGTGGTGTTGGAGTGGCAAGTACTAGACACAGTAGCAGGTCTCTCAGGAGGAGAGTGGGAACTGACGTTCTCTAAAGTGGTTCTTGGAGGCTATAAATAAGCCAAGAATGCTTTGGGGATGCTAGCTGCTTTTTCTCTTTCTCGGCAGCCACCTCACTCTTCACTTTGGGAACTGAGGTGATGAGAAAGGAAAAAGAATTACTTAATCTCTCTTCGAGAAAACAGCAGTAATATTTCAATGGTACATGACCTCGTGTGTCAGCTCATTCAGAGTACATGCCAATATTGTGTGTGTGTGTGTGTGCGCGCGCGCGCACGTGCATGTGCCAGTATTGGGGCTTGAACTCAGGACCTGGGTGCTGTCCCTTAGCTTTTCCCGGTCCAAGGCTTGAGCCACAGCTGCACCTCCTGCTTTTTGGTGGTTAATTGGAGAGAAGAGTCTCATGGACTTCCCTGTCCAGGCTGGCTTTGAACTGCCATCCTGAGATCTCAATTTCCTGAGTAGCCTGTCACTGGTGCCTGGTAATGCCATTATTCTTATGACTCCTCTTGGCCTTCTGGAAGAATCCTAGCAGAGGTTGACTAAAGCCCCAGAGCTTGAGGTTGAGGTTATAGGCTCAATGCTAGCTTCAGCAGATTGCAGCTGTGGGTTAGAAGGATTCAAAGATAGTCATCAGGAGGGTGGAAGGCCTAGGCTGATCAGGTGGTGTGGTATTTTGTTCCAGGTCTCCCGGGGCCTCAGTGCCAGCACCATGGACCTCTCTTCAAGTAGCTGACATTCAACTTGTCTTCCTGAAGGCCTCTTGGGCCCACACAGGCCTCACAGCATTCCCCAGTGCTCCTGACTCCTCACCCCAAGTTGGGACAGTGAAGGGGGAGCAGTGCAACCAGAAGGTTGCGGCTGCCTGTAGGGTCTCGGCTCCCTCCTCAGGAATCTCCCTTAGGAAAGACCCTCAGGACACGCTAGCCCCACCCTGGAGTCCTCCAGAGTAGTTGGCTCTGAGGTTCCCAAGGTGGGCACAAAGCAAGGATGCATCTCAGAGCTGCATCTCAGAGATGCTTCAGGCTATTCTGCCAGAGGGTTTGGGTCTGGCCAGCCAATCTGCCTTGCCCTGGCCTCTCTTGTCCCATCCCCTCTGCTGCCTCACTTCAGGTCCATGTATTTCACATTTCTTAAATAAAAGAATCAGGTAACCGTTCTGCTGCTTGAGTCCTGATTGATGAGGGCAGGACACATGGGTTGTGTTGGGGCCTTCACAGGAGGGAGAGGCAATGATGGAGGGACAAGGGAGAACTGTTGATTCTTGCATCTCTCTCCTCTTCCTGTGCCTAGCTCATACCCACTCCAGCAGGGCCTGGAGGAAGGCATCTATCTGGGGGATGGGAAGGAGGCCCACAACCCAAGGAGAAGGTGCTGTGGACTGTTGTCAGGGACATGTGGTGGCCATGTGGCAGGACCCTGGAGTCCTGGCGCCACTTCTCCTGCCTGTGAGGCCCTCTGTGGCTTCCCCTCCTCCTCCCAGCTGCTTGGGGGAGGGAGGTCTGAGCAGGCCTGGGGGGCCCTCCAGAGCCAGAGGGGGACAAGGCACCATCCATCCCCTCTCACATATCCTGGAGGCCTGTCAGCAGCTGGGGCCCATCTTCTAAAGCTTGACTCCTCCTGACCCGCCTCCTACACCCCTTGCTGCTTTCACAACAAAGAAAGAATGTGGGGGTGGTGGCCCTGGGGGTGGGGGTGCCTGGAACAAGGGCTGTGCTGGGCCTCCCCATAGCTGGAGACTTGGCCATGCCCTGACACAGCCCAGACTGCCTGGAGATGGGCTTGGCATGGATTTGTTTAACAGCCTTCAGCCTGGCTCTCTAGAGCCACGACGTTTCTACCTTTAGGTTCAAAGTAGTCAAGAGCCAAACCACCCTGTCCTCCTCCTGCTCCCTGTCCACGGCCCACCTCCAGGTTACCCGACGTGGGGATATCAGGGACGCCCTGCTGGCCTGGCTCATCTCGGGTTCTGGGGAAACTAGATCAGACCCTCCGGGTGACCTCCTCAGGGAGCAGGGAATGCCGGGAGCCACTTGGGTTCCCCAGATCCCTGCGGGCAGACCAGGTGGTGGGCACAGGAAACGGGTCCCTACCGTACCCAGGTCTCCTCAGAGCCGGGTTCCTCCGTGCTCCCCAGCCCCCTCTGTTCCTGCCCTAGAGTCCTCCCCTCGACTGCGAGCTCC